ATAAAACATACAATTTACCAACTGCAACTAAATTCAAGGGATTTCATGTGTTCCTCATAGAATCTGATTGCTGTAGTTCAATGAATCACATCACAATCCCAGCTACATCCCACCAGTCTTCTCACCTACTGCATCTAAATTTGGCATGAACACTAAGGATCAATAGTCATCAAAATATGACTTTGACTATGGATAGGAATAATTACAGGCTAGCCCTGAACAGTGACATTTAACCCAAAGATCTTTAGGAGAGGAACTTGTGAAAGAACTCCCGTAGCAGGAATCAGATCTTGTGCAAAGAACACAAGTGATACCTCTGAGACTTAACGGAGCACAGAGGCAAAGGGAACTGTTGCCATTTATAACAGTGCCAGCTGTTATAAAAATAAAGGGGCAAACAGTGGCTCCAGCTGTTCCCCTCAGACTGCACCGTTTGGGAAGTTGCAGACTTACCCTCTGGGATCCCGAGGCGGAGCCTTTAAAGGAGGTGCGTTTGAAGGAGCCACTCATCCTGCGCAAGGAACCCGCCAGCTTCCCTCCTTTGCCTTTCTTAGCCCCCTGGCCTTTACCCTCCATAGGGGAACCGGTATCCCAGCACCAACCAAAACTAGGCCTTTAGTCATGTAGCCTGAGGCCAACAATCATTAGCTTACAGCTTAAATAAAAAGGGAGACAGGTGCATAGAACAAACCCAAAGCCAAACAATGAGGTTCCTGTTCCGATGTGCACCCTGTCCCAGTGTTACCAGCCAGCCAGCCAAGCAGGAAAACGAGGAAATACAGACACAAACTGCTGTCCCCCTCCCTCCTCTCTACTGACTCTATAATCAGGCTTAATGCACACAGAGTCAGCAAGCTATGGTTTTTAATGGACAGAGATTTAATAAATGGTGATTGAAGGTAAATCTACTTTAGAAGCGGCAGCCGAAAGGTTTTTATTTGTGCAAAACACAGGGCAGTCAGATGGAAACTGTTCTGGTATCAGCAGAAAGGCACATGAAAAGAGCAGATGGTCCTCGGCAGACCCTGGGTTAGAGGCCTGGTGGGATCCTAAAGGATAATTGCTGATGGCAAGTGTGCCTAGAGCAGGTCCAGGGAGGAGAGTCAAGCTCTTAAAAGGAAAGAAGCCCTAAGACCACAAGTTAGATTCTAAGTAATTAGGGAGTGATGGTAGTGGCAGATAAGGTGTGGTGTTTATTATCTCCATGAACTCCCATGAATATCTCAATGCATCTGTTTTGTACCACTCTGCCTAAATATGTAAAAGGAGGCAGTTAGGAGAGAAAGGAGAAAGAGAAGGAAGAAGAGAAAGAAAGGAGAAAGGAGGAAGAGACAAGGTGCTTTAAAACATCAACTAAATAATTATTGACTAGGAAATACCTAGTTGGCGTCAGAAGGCATGAGCCAGGCTTTTGAGGAGCCAGGTAGAGAGTCTGTCCAGGAACACAAAAACTATTCCTCTGCCCCCAGTGTGTCAATGCAGTGAATGACACAGGGGCATCCTCACCACTACTTGTGATGTCACCTCACAAACAGGTACCATGGTATGGCAGCATGAATCCCTGAATCAGAAAGGATGGCTAAGGGTATTTTGGTAAAATTTTGGCAAAGAACAAAAATGGGGACATACTCTTCAGAAAGCAGAAATTCAGGAAGTGATTCTGTTCTTCAGAAGACAATGTAGAATGTGAGGAAAGAATTAACTTTGTCCTTTTGGATCTCTCACTCTAAGACATGTCTGAGCTCCCTGTAACTGTTCTTGGTATATTTTAAGGATCATTCTGATTTTTACAAGTCATCAGCACCCAGGGGATGTTCACATTCAAGAGCCAGGTGAGAGTAATCAGTGCAACAGAACCTGCTGACTGAAAACCCCAGTGGAAAAATAAGGAAAGTGAGCTGATGTTCTTGCCCCCACTGTGTTTGTATAACACTTCATGGGCCATTTCCACTAGACTAGGGAACAGAAACGTGCACCATGCTGGCACTTTCAACAGCTCCGTGATTGAGAAGCACAAGTTTAATAGATTTTCCAGAAGAGCTTGTGGTTTTAGGAGTGTACTGCCACATTAGGAAACCTTTTAAACAAACGTTGTTAGGAAGGTTCCTGTCTCACACTGGAGTTTTCTACTTCATCAGTTGAACTGATTCAAAGGTTTGTGTGGCCTGGATCAGATCTGTGCCACCAACTGGTTTAAATCAGCACGGGGAGGAAAGGGCAGTAATCTCTTGCAGCAGGATGTCGGACAACAAATGAATATTTGGCACACTGTGGAAGTGAAAGACCCTTCAACTGGTTCTGAAAGGGAACAATCCATGACATGAAATGACACTTCTGTCCATCATCCTCCATGTTTGGCAGTGAAATCAAACTGGTCAATCTTAGGTTATGGAAAGAGCATGGCCCCCCACAGAAGAGCAAGCAGAGTGCAGGATCACTGCCAAGGTCGTGCCCAGCCTGCTCCCCGGGAAGGGCAGGAGGCCCCCGTTTCAAAGCACACAAAAGCAGCACACTGTGTAAGGCAGAAGAAACTGTACATCTTCTAGATAACACACCATGGAAATTCAGCAGCTGCAGTCATGCAAAGATCCATTTCCCAAAGGCCCTACCTGCTTTTTAAAAAAGTGAATATTTTGGCTACAGATTGCTGTAGTTGTTTCAGTTCATAGAGCTGTTGTATGACATCACATCAGAGATGTCTGATGTTAGTTTAAATCAAAAAGTGATAGATTTAAAGCTTTGCTCACCATGGCAGCTGAAATGTTTCCAGTCCCTTCAGCAGTCAATCTAAATCTGGACAGCAGCAAGCCCTAATCCAATGACCTTTATTTACACTGACAGTCCAGGAAAGAGAGGCTTATTTGTACCTCTGTAAAGACCTCAGTGTACAAGACAGGTCGAACTGGGCCTTCCTTCCCTTTCCATTTAATATCACTACAGTGTGTCTCAAAAGAAGACTTTCAGTGAAAAAAGTGTGTTGGTTTGATGTCCTTTGACATTTGGGATGCAGTAAGAAAATTTCAAGAGTCCTGTGTTTATCTAAAAAAAACCAGCCTACAGCCCACTAAGGGCACTCCTCAAGTACTGCCCCAGCTAAGAACAGGAGCTGTTTGGATTGTGTTCAATGCTGCAGAGATGCTCTTCCAAAAAGGTTTATTTAAAGATAGTCATCATTAGTTATGTTGTGCTTGCTACAAAACATCTCAACAAGTGTCCTCACAAGCAAATTCATCTCCCACTCAGTTTTCCTGCATAAGGACAAGATCATACTCCAGGAATGTCTGAAGTCACTACGGTGCTGCAAACTATTAGCATTTTGAAGCCTTTCAAGCCTTCAGAAACTCGCCTGCTATTCTGTTACTGGCAGGATAAACCTGCTACTCTTCCAAACTGAAAACAAATGGCAATGTCAAAGTTACTCTTCAAGAGGTTTTAATCCTGCTAATCCATTTATGTGCTCTCTGCAAGTTGCCCAGTGTCAGAGACTTAACATACTTCAGTGACTTAACATATTTTTAACTTTCAGAAACCCAGCCCCTTCTGCACTGTTTTTCCCTCACTGTAGTACGTGAAAAGCTGCAGGAAGTCAGACTTAACATCTCATAGCTGTGCACAAAAACTTGCAGAGTAGATGACAGAGGGTCTATCTGAAATGAGCTGGAGCAGAATGAACATGGATAACATTTCACAGTCGAGCAGCAACACATTTCCTGACTCCTGATGAACTGCTTTGCTCTCCAAATCAGACAATTTTGCAGTCAGAGATTCACTTTTGAAAGAACAGCATGAAACCAGAACTGACTCTGGAGTGTTGCATAGTGCAGTCTGTACACCAAGAATATTTAACATTTGAAGAACTGCCCCTTCACAAAGCAGTGCCTCCCTTTCCCGGCAGCAACAAAGAGCTGTGAAACAACTGCTGGCTCTCACTGTCAGCCAAAAGCAAAATGCTCCACTACACCACCATAGTCCACTACATTCTTCCCTCTCTTCACCAACAACTAAAGAATTATGCTTTAAATCTTTCCTTCTTTTTCTTTTCAGTGCTTTTCCATTTGTGCTACAAGTATTTTCAAATCTGTAACATTTAAAACCAGAGATATAGGAAGGGAAAGAGGAAAGAAAGGAGGAAGAATGGAACAATAAATGCAGCATTTAGCAACACAAATGCACATCAGGCAGTGATAACACTCCATAGGGGGTACAGCAATGTTAGTACCAAACCAGAGAGAAAGGTATTGAGGTCCAGAAGATCACACAGACACGGGGGACCATTTACACAAACATCAAATAGCTGCATTTATCACAAGCTCTACTGCTACTACTGCCATTCACTTTCAAATAAACTTTTCTTTCTTTTTTTAAACAAAAACTATTTTTGGACAGTTGCTAGCATTAAGTACATATTAAAGAGCTATTTATTAACATTATATTCAGGACTATAATTTCTGGCCTTACTATTAGCATGAATGAGACCTAAATGATGGGCAAGTTTATGGAGCTGTGAGGAGGAACAGAAATCAAACCAGTCAAAACAAAGATTCCAAATCTCTATGTCCCTAAAGACAAGGGAAAAGAACACAAAAGTTCTACATTTTCAAGTTCTGAAGAAGCTTCAACACTTCATAAAATCATGATTTTTTTTCTCTGGGAGTATGATAATTTTCCAGGCAAAGGGCATTTCCTATTTGCACAAAAGCCTTCTAGAGTTCTGCAAGATAGAGCTTGACATCTTTTTTAGGTCTGAATAGCTGCAACTCAAATAATACAGAGCATTTGGAGAATTTGATGCCACTTTTGCAGAATTCCCTTTCAAATTTCCTGTTCACACCAAAACCTGGGAGCACTGTGTCTTTAATTCCTCTTGATGGCTCCCACTGCAGTTATCCACTGCAGCACATCACTGCTCTGTCTCCAGTGCAGTTCTCAGCCATTATTCACCGAACAGCTCTGGATTCTGTATTTTCCCAGCCAGAACACTGCTCAGTGTGGTTACCTACCATGAGAAGGAGCACGCTGCGGGTCACTGGCACTGCAGGGTCCACTTCTGGAAGCTACATCTCCTCCAGGCACTGCAGCTGCAGCCTAGGGGAGAGCACAGCTGGGTTACAAATGTGACACTTTACCCAAAACTCAGCAACCAACTGCCAGGTGACACCCATGGCAAAGGAGTTCCCTTTGGGCACTTCCACACCTGAGCTCAGAGCACGGCTGGGGGCCACACTGTGGGACTTCTACCCCAGCACTGTCTGTTTATCCATTCCAAGTGTCTTGGTTATTTAGCAACTGTCTGTCACCTCTCTCCTTATCTTGCAAGAAGAAACAGCAAGTTTAAAGTGAAATTAAACAGATCATGAGACCCGTGGACAGAAGAGATGAAGAAACAACATCTGCTTGTGCCAGTGGTCAATTGGTGCCTTTGTAAGCACTTCTCACATATCAGAAGTAATCTGCACTGACCATATGAAGAACAAAACACAGGCCAGTCATCTTATTTCAATAACCTGCTAGTGAGTAGAACCTGCAGAAACCCACCAGGTCACTCTGTCACCTCACCCTTGGGGGCAGATTCAGCTTCCTGCATTTGTAGAATCACAGGAAAAATAAGTTGAAATTACTTTTGAATCTCACCTACTCTGACTCCCATTCAAAGGAGAACCAACTTAAAACTGCATCAAGTGGTTCTTCCTATAAATATTACCCAGAATAGTAACAGCAATCCAACACTAGTTCAGAGATAAGGAGAAGTAAAATTGGTTAAAGGCTCAAATACTGATAAGAAACTCACTAATTTCAGTTGCTCAAACTCAGACAGTTCCTGATCTAATTCTGAAAAATGCTGACCCAGCAACAGCTCCTGTAACAGTAAATGGGACCTGCCACAGCTCTTCAGTTCAGGGTCTTGTTGCCTCAAATGACTTTTCAAAAAGTGAAGCAGACAAAGACCTTTACCCGGCATTAAGACTTTCCCAGTGAGTCTCAGTGGGCACTGGGCAGGATCTGGCCTGTGGGTAAAGGGTATTTCTGAGAATTCAGGCCTCGGTGATTTATCATGTGCCACATCCCATGGACAGTAACTTCCTTCCCATGCAAATTGCCCACTAATGGAATTAGAGAGCAGTGACAGCTTCCTGCTGTCCTCAAAGAGGCAGAGCTGAAAGCAGGACAGTGGATTCCCTCCTGCTGCATCACAAGTTCAACCTCCAACCAAGCTGAAAGAGCTGGGGGCACATTTGGGATCACTTGGGAGAAGTCTGACAAATCACTTCCTTGCCTCATTCTGGGATTCTGCAAACAGATAGGTCTTCAAAGCTAAGAAAAGAAAATTAATTTGTTGACTTGTGCTTCTTTAAAACATGGAGAGGTAAAACCTGAATTCTAAAAATGGGACTATGAGGATAACAATAAGAAAAGACTGTGTATGCAGACTGAACTTCATAACAGTTTTAGGGACACAAACAGAATAAGCAAAGACACTTTTACTCTGGAAACAAAGCTGAGCCTTTAAAAACAGTCTAGGATTTCACTTCTACTTTAAGGATAATGACAACAAATTAATTACAATTATGTTCGTTCAGTCTCAGAACACTTAAAAGGGACTTTCCTTTTAGGCAGACAGAAAACCATAACTCTTTTCAGCCCTCACAGTTACATAATACAATAAATTAGCTGACAGAAAGGATTACAGTGCACTTTGTGTGATTATTTTACAGACCAGCTTTGCTGCAACATTCTCCATTTTCTGAGCATCATCAACCCTGAGCAAGGACTTCTCACTGGACTCAGACCTGTCTGTGTGACAAGGCCCTTCCTTGTCCTAAATTAAACACCTGTTACCCAACACTGCCAAGTGGTAAAAGGTACTGACAGAGTGTTCACCCCTGGGTGGCCATTATCATCAGTCTGCCTGAACAATCAGGTCAAGATTTTTCTTAATTTCCCCCGTATTTTCATTATTTTCCAACTCTGTTTATATTTCCACTCTGTTTATATGTAAACAATCAGAGGAGTAAATAAAATGCCTTCAAATATTTTCTTTTAAATACAGTTGGGAATGTTTTTTCTCCTATGTCTAAAACATGTTGAAACTGTGAGTACATTAATGCAGGTACTTTTGCTCTGTAATAGAAATGGAATACTACCCCTGTCATTGGAACCACCAGCTGGAGCTACAGGGGAACACCAAGGGTCTGCTGGGCTGGGCAGACTGGGAAGATGCTGGGGCCCCTCTGGGTGTGAGCAGGGTGACCCCAGATCCAAAATGTAAAAAGGACTGATTTCAGCAGCAGAACCATTGCCATTGGGGGTGGTCCCCCACTGAAAATGAGATTCATGCTGGGTGACTTTGATGTATACTGTATAAACATAGACAGAAACCAGCTTCAACCTCACAATCTTCCAAGCAAATGGGGTTTCGATATAGATTTCATTGAGGACAGCATCTCAGGAGAGTAACAAGAGGTTTTGTTTTCATTTCAGCTGAGTAAAATAATCATTTCAATTTACAATGCACCACTTTTTTCAATGCACAATTGGTCTCAAACAAAGCTAGTTAAATAAATCCAGAACATTTCCATATCTACCAGCAACTAAACTGAAGGCTGAAAGAAAGAATGTCTTTTATTTAGCTAATTACAGAGGACTTGAAAGGGTAGTGAAGAAAAAGAGAGAGTTGAAGAATTAAATCATAAGCCAAATGAGAATTTCATTGCAAGTAAGCATCGAAGCCTTGAACTGCACCACGAGATAGCAGCCCACAAAACCCCACTGATCTGGGAAGGGAAAGAACCAGCTCGTAACTCTGGAAGGAAGTGGCTTATTTCTGCTTCCCTCCACATGACAGTACCTCCAGCTGGTGACAAAAACCTGCTCCCTGCTTGGGGAGACAAGGAATGTCAGAGCAGAGAAATGAGTCTTCTACTGTGCTCCATCATTCCCGAGGGCCAGGAAGCCACTGGCTCTTGTTGGCAGATCCCTGAACTGCTCTCCGTTCTGCCAAGGGGGATGCTTTGTGGAGCATCAGCTCTCTCGCTGGCAGCTCTGAGCTGCACTGGGCAGTCCCAAGCGCACAGCGCCGCATCCATTCCAGGGAACCCCCGGGATTCGGCCCCTCGCTGCCCACGCACACCTTTTTAGGTACCACCAGCACCATCTGGTGTTTCCCTGAAGGGAAAGCACAGGATTTTCAAATGTCTGTCCTCCCTCCACAGATATAAGCATGTCTATTATTCAACACCTCTTACATTGCATTAGCATGTGGAAAAGGTCAAATATGTTGAATATTTTCATCTTTATACACAATCAGTTGTCCAGGAGATGTTAAAAAACCTCTCTGTAAAAACCCCAAAGTACTGGTATTGTATATCATCATGTTGGCTCTGATTTTGAAAATAAGAAAAATAAATAAAATACACAAAATAAATTCGGACCAGTTAGCAATAATGGTAACTGTAACCTAGAGAAGACCTAGAAATGTGCATATGAATACATTTTGCTGCCAGAAGAACAAGACAACATGAAGGACAAGTAAGCTGCAAGATGAAAGTAAAGAAAAGAGGTAGAATGGGTTCAGAAGTAAAGTAAGGAACTGAGAATCAGATAATCTCTTCCTGCCCCTGATTTTGTATGGGACCACGCACAGGTCACTCACATAACTTTGATAATAGTTTCTCTATCTGAACAAAAGCAGCAATCATATAAACCTGTGCAAAGACCCCAAATTCCATTATATTTGTAAAGTCATTTGGAATTCTTGGACAGATACAAGTACAATTATGGTTTACAAAGTGCTTGAGCAAACAGTCCCTGCATTTTCATACGAACATTCTCAACTGTATTAATAAGCCTACAGCTCTTCACAGCAACGGGTTCAAAAATTTGCCAATATTAATGAAACTTTACAGAAGAGAAGTAAGGGAAACCTCAGCTGAACTTTCAAGGACGCTCATTTAAAAGGGCTGGCTGCAAAAACCAAACATCTCATTTCACAGTTCACACATCACCAGAAGTGAGAAAAACAAAGAAGGAGAAAGACAAACATGGTATCATGATCCTCCTTCTTTGCATTATAACTCTATCACTTGGAGGTTTCTTTATTTCAGGTGAATTTGTCTCTGACAGATGATGCAGTCAGGAAACACCTGCAGCTCACATCAGCAAGCAGTGAATCAGCATGTTCTGGATGGCCTTGTCTGACAGAGCTGAGCACCTGTCAGTGTACTGCTGGTCCCTATTTACTGTCATTGCAGAACTCCCCGAGTCCTGTGCCATCCAGGGAATTCTGGCATTATGCTGAATGTTTTCTGAGGGCAGGTTTAGGTAGAACATTAGAAAAAGGTTCTTCCCCCAGAGGGTGGTTGGCACTGCCCAGGCTCCCCAGGGCAGTGGGCACAGCCCCAAGGCTGCCAGAGCTGCAGGAGTTTTTAGATGATTCCCTCAGGCACAGGGGGTGACCCTTGGGGCTGGGCCTGTGCAGGGCTGAGGGTTGGACTCCAGGATCCCTGGGGGTCCCTTCCAACTCAGCATACTCTGTGATTCTGTAAAAGCTGGTTGTGACAGACCCACTACCCAGGGCTCTGTTCAGAAGCGATTTTAGAATTCCCACCTTTACCAGCTCCCTCAGTGACAGATTGTCCATTTCTGCCAGGAACACTCAGCACAGTAACACGTTCCAGCTGACCAACTCCTGGCACACAGATCTCCAGAGAGCTGACAGGTGATGGGGGATTTTCTTGCCTGCTTCTTGAAGCTCAACAAGTAACACTGATAAGGGGATACATGATGGCACAAGGACTTCTCTTTTTCCTCTTTCATAGTCAAATCTCCTGACTTTTTCCAGTTGGGATCACATCTGTCAGCCATCTCTCTCTCCTGACTGCAAAGTCTCAGAGGCACCAACAAAGACAAAGCTGGTCCAAAACACAAACGCTGCAGTCAAATTAGCAAAGCAAGACAATCAAACACTACAATCCCAGCTGACCCTGCAGTAATAGGATCACATCAAGATTAGTCTATGTCATAGGTTAA